CTTCTGGGTGAGACAGGAAGGAGGTCTTTGTTCCCACCAGTGGGTACCAGTAATGAAGTGGACTGGGTTCCTCTGGTGATCTCAGTCTGGACGACAGCAGCGATCTGGACGCGGAGTCGCACTTCCTTTTATTTCTTCCGCGCCGATGGGATCGCAGCTATTATCTGATGGAATTGAACAACCTTTACTAAGCGAATAAAGCTCTTTTGAGTGCCCCCTAACAGAAATCCAGCACGCCCCCATCCCTCCCCTCTTTGTCCACTGTTTTGAATTCATCGGCCCCCTCTCGACAAGATGATAGGAATAATCTCGCCAAGTGAGATTGACAGTTCATTTCAGAAATCAATATTTACAATTTACTTCTTTCAAAGTTCATTCTGGGAGAGGGCTCCATATTATCCACCTCCCAAATAAGCTGATCATATCTCCGCAGGCCCTGGAATGAGTTTCCTACCCAAAATGTGTCGTTTTCTTCCCCTCCTCCTCCCTCTCTCTCTCCCTCTCAGAAATCAATGTCTGCGTTTGTGCGCTTTAATCTGGCCTCTGATGACAGTAAATCTTTATCTGTTTCTGGGCGAGCAGCAGTGAGCGGCTGACACCATTTCCCATCAGAACAAAGAGCCGGGCCTGTGTGGACTCTGGGAGATACATGGGGCTCTAATGTGGCTGGACATGTTTCAGCAGGGCCATTAATCAGAGAGGGTGACAGCCAGGCCGGCTGTGGTTGTCGTCAGAGAGAGAGCCGCACCATACACTCAGAAAACTGAGGAGTCCAGGAGAGGTTGATGGAGATTAAACCTCCGGTGTTCTGTCACAACACGGGCCGAGATATTTCCATCTCCAAACCTGAGCGTTTCCACAAGAAGTTTTTACTCAACTCAACTTCATCACCGCAAATGATTGAATCTTTATAATAAAGTTCAAAAAGAGTGTAGTGGTAGGGAGGCTACACATGGGAAATGTAGTTCACAATTTGTAGTTTGGAAGCTCAAGATAGTGGAAATACACGTCAGAAGTAAGAAGTAGTGCAGTAGTCGTATCAAAGCCCCTGAAAAATATATCCGTGTGACATTCATAGACCGTATAAAACCATATAAAATAAGGCCTACATCAAAGCGACCACGCCCTTAACTCATGGTGATCAGACGTTTTGGTTTGTCCAGGATCAATACAAACTGTCCTGGTTTTCACCAGAATTAATAATAATAATATTATACTCGTCTTGAACATTTATTACCCAACCCAGTAGAAAAAGCACAAACAATTCACCAAGCATCTAAACTCAACACTGATTTGTCTGCCGGTGTGTCAATCATTCAACGTGTCGTTGTCAACGCTGTTGCAGTGACGCTTGCGGCTCTTTCTGACAGAACCTTTTCAGTACACCAACAGTTAGCTGTCGTGTCCAAGAGAAAATTGGTCTTTTTTTTTGTTAAAGAGTTCCAGGGAGGTTATAACTCCTTCCTTCGTAAAGCACCCGGTAACGGAAACGCAGGGTTCTGCACACGCTGCAAGAGTCCTACAGTTTCTGTCGCACACAGCGAAAATGCCAACGTAACATTTAGGTGACCAGAGAGCAATACAGAGTAGCTGGTACTATTGGTAACAGTAATAGATATAAAACGGAAGGAGATATTGTTGGAAAACTATAGTATGATGCTCTTGTCAAAGTCCAAATTGAACCCCGAGGATGTACAGAGTCTAATGTGATAATCCAGAAGAGTCCACAAAGGGGAATATACTTTTAAGTATGAACACTAGAAATCAGCTAAATGAGGTCTTAGGTTTCAACATGACGCAGGAAGCTCATACTCTGGTTCACCTGCCGGAGGGCCCAGGGGTCAAAAGGAACTGCTGGGCCCTCAATAATTCTGCTGTTTTCTGATTCAATTCAGTTTATTTTGTTGTTGTTTTGATACAATAAGCTACTACTCCCCCCCCCCCCCCCAGGTTAGTGGTGTCATAAGGTGATTCAATTCATGAATTAGTATAATGTGGAATAGAAACGTGCAAGCACAACAATAATGACATAATTAAGGTCTCACAGTAGATTTTGACACTGGGGTCGTCAGGATTAAGAGATAATGCGGTTCAGTCTTTGTGTCTTTGTGCTTTATTGCTGCATATTCCCACAGACATTACAAATTGAACTAACACCAACCGGTGGCTCACCACGCCAGCTTGGTAATCGAGCCTCACGTTTCTGGTGTAAATGTGCATTCGCTGCAGTAAAATGAGGTGATGTCGCCCTCACAAATTAGGGGAAGATCTTAACTCGATGTTGACATTCACATCGTGCCTAAACTTCAATGACATGAACACAAATATCTCAAAAAAAAAAGAAGAAAGAAAATCTGAGCAAGAGGAGCGTAAGTGTAAAAGCAGAATGAAAATGCCAGAAATAATCCACACAAACAATCATGAGTTACTCCGTTGCAACCCAGAACCCTCCAGTGAAGTTCTGTAATGATTCATAACTTCCTCAGTATTAATAAAACCACCTCCAGCACTGAAAGAATGGACCACAGTAATATGTATTATTTTGCAGATTTATGACCCCCCCGCCCCCACGTACCAAACAAGGCTGAAGTAGCCCACAGCTCCATTCACTGTGGCTCCATGGGGAGTTGCTGGGTGGTAATCTATTGTTAAACAGCTTTTAGAGTGATGGATGAAAACGGCCGCAGCCTCTACACAATCAATTCATATCTAATTAGCCCGTATTATTTATGACACTTTGAATAGGCGGAGTGGGCGTCTCAGGGGAGGGATAGAGACCTCAGCTGCCACACAGGGAAATGAGAAATGGGAGAGTTTATCAGGCTGTTATTGATGAGCATAAAAGATGGAGAAATGATTTTCCCACCAGTGGGGGAAGAAATCCCGGTTGACTTAAGATGACACGGAGAAGAAATCTCCCCGACGTCACACAAGAAGCCAAAGTAACTGGGATCCTGTTTTTGGAGAGACAGGTTGCAGCTTTTTGTTTTTTAAAGACTTGAGCCCCAGAAACCCAATCCCAAAGTGTTCATCTAAACACACAGACATGTGTTTGTATGGAGAGTGGTTTAAAGATGAAACCTACAAGTATTCCCCAAAAATTGTGCCAAGATAAGAAAGAAAGAAAGAAAGAAAGAAAGAAAGAAACTCAAATCTTGTCTAAGCCTGACATCTGCTGTTCAGCTCGGGTTATAACAGCCTGTGAGCAAAGTATTACATGTCTGCATCTACAGGACCAGCAGTGATGGAAAGAAGTATAGATACTGTTACTTTGAAATACATGTGTACAGTAGGCTACTTGTGTAAACATGTTTGAAAGTAAAAAATGGGTGAGTTAAAATGTGCTTGATAGACTTTGTATCCACACCAACAATAGTAAGAAAAGCCTGTTATCATTATGTTTTATTATGGCTTGTCAAAGAATTCAGAAAGAAGAAATACAAGCTCAACTGATCTATACACTATAATAACAACTATTTAATAAATATATATTGTTAAGCTATGTTCTCTATAGTCCTATATTTCCCTATAGTTTGTAAAGAAGGCCTAAACATTAACCTTATGTTACAAAGTCTTTAGTCTTTGTCAGGATGCAACAAGTCCTCAGTAGAAGCCAGAATTTGAATGAAATCGTCAACTGAAACTTGTTTAAAAAAACTTTTCTTGGCTGCTGGAAGCTTTGTTTTTGTTTAAAAGATGATCTCCTATAAACTACACGCACCTGGAGACGAAACAACCGTAGAATCCTTCACGTCCATGTTGTGCTCACGTGTTAGGTATCCATATTTGCGGTCACTACTCACCTCTGTAATCGTCTGAAGGTTCATCCAATCAGCCTGCAAAAAGGCCTGAGATCAAGTCCACATGTGACTATGAAGACATGTCCACATCTGTCTGCGTCCTCAGTCATATATTGTGTGATAGAAGTTTGTCTCCAGTCTCATCAACAGCTGGGCTACACGTCTTTTTGCAGTTTGACACAGAGTCTTAACTGCAACTTCATGTTGATCATTACTGTTCATATGTCGTTTTCTTTTCTCTTCAAGTTCATAAAATAAGCTGCTTCCGGTCTTTCCAGCAGCATCTAGGGCCCAATCCCAATGTCCCCCCTTACCGACTCACGGACTTTGAGGCGCGCTCCCACGAAGTCCGTGAGGGTTCAGGACTGTCCCCCTGTCAAATCGTCGAGTGTTTGACAGTGTTGTCTCCACATTGAGAGAGGCGCGACTGCGCATTTTACGCACGTGGCACAGCGGCGGCATCTTTATCGAATCACCTGACACAACAACAGGATGAGGAGCATCTAAAGCCTCCTTTAGAAAGAGGATAAAACAACTTAGCTTTACCTGGTTAATAAAATGTTCTTTGTCTTCTGTCGAGATCATTGCTTTAATGCTTTAATAAAGTAGTAGATGATGCAGGTTTTTACATCATTTATCTGTCAAGGTAACTTGTAGCTGAGAGGGTTATTTAAAGCCATGAACCTCAAAGTTGTGAAAAATATTGGTCCATTTCGACGTGGGATTCCCCTGTATCTACTGTGAATGCATTATAGTTTTATTTATATTCATTCATTTATTTTTGTGTTGATGTTCAACATAACAGAACGGAATTTCTAACATCTGCCTTTTCAATCACAATAAATTCAATTAGTAAACATGAGGAGGCCTTATTAATAATGTCTCAGCGGCCTTATTTACTCATTTCTCCCTAATTACAAACTCACCATTAAGTCCTCCAGTAATGTAGCGTCATGGTGATTGTACTCACACACTGCTGGAGGACCGTAAGCTGAGTGAGCACAAGGTGAATCTTCATCTCATATTGTAGTGAGGTTATTGGCTGCATGTACTAACTCTCCATTTTCATTCTTTAAAGATATAAAATTTAAAAATACAGTTTTGTAACAGGAATCATCTTAATCATATTTCTAAGTATGTTGTCAAACATTTGTTATTTTAAAATCTTTATTCAGACGTATTGAAAACAACAAAACACATTTGAATTCCTGACAGAAAAACAAGAAAACAACAAATAAAGGAGATGTTTGTGCCGTGTGCCTGCTGCTTGTATCAGTAGTTTACTGTAAACAAGAACCAGACAGCTCCTCTCCAGTATTTACAAGTCATTTGGAGCGTTTGCCTTCTTTATATAACAGCAGGCTGTCTTATGCAACACAGGATATCAAAATGAGACGCATATGTTTTCTATGAAACCTGTTACTGTCAATGTCATGAAAGAGACACCTCACCAGACATTATGTGCAGTTTCTTTACAATAAACCTTATTTTCAGACATTAAATCCTTCGATGCTTTACATGACGTCGTAATACTGAGAAGCAAATCCCTTTTCTTTGCTTTCTGAGGCAGCGTGAAAGGCCAGGCTGCTGTAACATATATTAAATGGCTGCAGGGGGTTAGAGAGGAACGTGCAGCACTATCCGTTTACAAAAGTCATCTTAATCAAATGCTGCCTTTTGCAGATCAGAGAGCCAGGTACGCCAGCTCTGCTAAAACTGATTACAGCTGTGCTCCATGCACGTATGAGAGGGGCCTTTTCTTTCTAAAAACATGAGTAAATAATCGATTTGTTCGCAATATTATTTATTCATCTCTTTGTATCCATCTCTTCACATGCACATTGTTTACTTATTTATTTGGGCTTACTTTTAAGCATTCGTTTGCTTATATAATAACAAGACAAAATCATTCACAGTGACATTAACTTTATAGTACAGACACTGACGCAGAGGTTCCCAGTAGTTGAAAACTGGGGAAAATCAAACGCAAACAACAGGTGTGATGTGTGCATCTGCATGTGTGACCGTGGGGTTATATTAAAGAGAAATAGGAGGAAATGAGCTACTTGTTCTAATCCTTTTCCCTGCGGACATGGACTCTAGCAGGAGGGAATCTGCTGAAAACTACTAATGAGAATGTGATGAGCTCGACCTCCCAGTTCCTCTGGTAGCTCAGATGTGAACCAGCGAAGGGCTTTCTTTACCCGTCGCCCCTTTTTGTCTTCGGAGACAGAATGGTTATTTAAATGCTGCATTATTATTTACATGTAACCTCATGATCTCTGGTATGGTGCCAACCTACAGTGTGTACCCAGCCTATACCACAAACAATCAGAGGCTGAGCTCACCATGCTCCCATATGGGAAGAGAATGGTGCCTTTTGTGTTCATCGTGGCTGTGATGAATAGGCTCACATGAAAGGGTAAAATGATTGAATGCATAGGTGTGAGATTGAACAGGTGATTCTTTTGTAAATCTGTCTGTGCTTTGTTTTCCAAAAATGGTTTAAAAATGGCTGCGTACTTTCCATGCTTAACCCATGATCCACCTCTGAGCCCAAACATATGGTCGATGCTTTGTTGTAGAAAAGCAATATTTTTGTCTGCCGATCTGGAAGGAAATTTCAAAAACAGAGATTTAGAAACATTGATACGTGTATATTCCAAATTCAGAGCATTGAGGGATTGCCTCCACATGGCTCTCAACATGGCGACGGCTAAGCTGTTGGCTAGCAGCTAATGGTGCAAACGTCAGGAGTAGCTTATCCATAAAAGGTCATGTTAATGACTTTGATAAAGATCCGTAGGGTCAGTTTACAATACATTAAAAAGAAATGTAAAACATATCGGTAATGAATATCTTTTTTTTTTAAATCTCAATATACATATTGGCCTCAAAAATCCAGTATTTATTCAGAACACAGACGATGCTCTCAAGACCGGCGGCGACATCAAAGCATTTTACTGATCGGGGAGTCGTGACCTTTGTGAGTCACACTGATGTTGGTGGGCGGCATCCTTCTGCGCAGCCCCCTGCTGTCTTTCACGGGACAAGTGCTCGGCACCCGGCACCAGAAGACCTGCTTGTAGGAGTTCCGGAAGTTCTCAGACAGGAAAGCGTAGATGATGGGGTTGACGGAGGAGTTGCTGTAGGCCAAGCAGTGAGCCACCATCCTGAAGACGAAGGAGGCCTGGTTCAGGGGGAAGGAGCCGAACTCCACCCACAGGTGGACGACGTGGTGAGGCAACCAAGACAGACAGAAGACCACGACCACCACCAGGACCGTCTGGGCGGTCTGCGGAGGTAATGATTGGTTGTTGTCATGTTATCGCATGTTACTGTAACAGGACAGTCTGTGGAGGCGGAGCAACACCAGATCACCGCGTCATCATTTAATTCTAGTAGACATTTTGAGTGAACTTGTCATAATTAGGACATGAATTCTTAAGTTTTTATGAGGTCACAGTGACCTTTGACCTTCCTCCAACAAATTCAAATCAGTTCATCCTTGAGTCCATGTGAATGGAGCGGACAGAATGACATCCTGACTGACAGTCCCTGAAATGTCAAAAGGTAGTAAAAACTGCCCATCCCAGTTTCTCAGAATCAAAGGTTACATCTTCAAAAGTCAAGTTTTGTCTGACCAACTGTCCAAAACCTTAAGATATTTAATTTATTCTTATAATATGAGACAATAAAGAAGCAAATCCTCATATTTAAGAAGCTCTAGCCAGAAAATTCCAGACATTTTTTAAATTAAACTATCGAAAACAATTAAAATAGTTTGAGACTAATTTCGGTTCTGTGTTCTAAGTCTATTATGTCTATTCCCCCCCCCCCCCAGTGAGGATTGTGCTCAGTTTCCTTTTGAGCATCCCTTGAGAGACACAGACCTGGTCCATCACTAAACCATCAGCAGCAGAGAAGCATGTCCTCATTCCCTGTTCCCACATTTCCAGTCACAACATTACAATATAACAAGATGAACACATATAGAGGGACAGAAATAAGCTCCCACCAACCTTCTTTTTGGACTTCTCTGATTTTTTGGAGACATTCTTCAGCTTTTTATGCAGATGGTTTAAAACCTGCAACAACAAAAGTATCATTAAAGATAAACGTTTATTCTTAAATATTTACTGTAAATGATCAATCGGCGCAGCACCAGTCATCAGAGTACAGATCACGTTTCATTTGTCAATTACAAACCACTGCAGCTGAAAGTCAATCTTTTTATATCAAAAAATGAATTTTATGGAGATTGAAGCCACAATGTTTGCATCATGTTTAACTTTGCAGTCATGTGTGCTTGCTCCAAACTGTGAGATCTGTCTGCAATTGTACGCGCACACGGACCCGTGCGCACCCACCTTTGCATAGCAGACCGATATCAAAGTGAGAGGCAGGACGTATCCGAAAACAAACGTGCACATCACGTAGACTTTCCTCTGGTGGTCCGGCCAGACCTCCCAGCAGAAGGTGTTGTTGTCCTCCCTCTCCACGATGCTCTGGTAGTGCGCAACGGGCGCAGCCATGGCCAGGGACAGGATCCAGATGAGCACCACCCCGAGAATGGCGTGCCTCCCGACACGGATCGACGAGGACTTCCTGGCGTGGACGATGGCCACGTAGCGGTCCACGGACATCGCCGACAGCGTGAAAATGCTGACCAGCATGGACACGGTGAAGAAGTAGTGGATGAACTTGCAGATGAACGCTCCCAGCACCCACGTGGGCAGCATGTAGATGGTGGACTGGAAGGGGACGCAGAAGAGGAGGTAGGACAGGTCCGCCACGCTCAGGTTGAGGATGAAGATGTTGGTGGTGCTCCTCGGCTGTCCCGGTTTGCTGCGCGCCAGCACCGTGATCACCATAGTGTTCCCCAGCACGCCGAGGATGAAAATAAGTGCAAATATCAGAAGAGAAATAAAGTTATCCACACCCATCCCCAAAACGGGTTTAGCTGGCAGCCGCAGAGTGTTGGTGTTGAAAGGCTGACTTTGGTTCTCCACCTGCAGCTCCATCTTTTTGTTCTTTTCTTTTTTTCAAGCCAGTGAAGAGAAGTTACATGTTGATGGGCTGAAGCTCAGGTTTGGAATTTATCCTGAACAAAGGCTGGATGGAAACTCATGCGCGTGCAGGCTACCTCCCCTGCCTTCCTTTGCAACGTCACCATGCCGCGCGCAACACATCGCGCCAATACCTTTCCACTGTTTCCAGTGAGATGGGAACAAACAGAAACTCTCGTACACGTACACGCATCATCAAGCACTCAGTGTTACTTTATCCAAACAAGTGCATCAACACATGTTGACATATGATGGCTGCTATTCAAGAATGTGTTACCAAACGTAAAGTACACATTCAGATATTATTGCTATTATTTTATTCATTTTAGAGTATATGAAAAGTGACAATGTCTTCTGCAATATTAGCAAAAACAGATGAATTCAATGTATTCCACATTACATGACAGTTATTACAGTTATAAATGTTTAAGAATTTATAATATAATATAATATATTATAATAAAACCTCTTAAAGGGCCAGTGTGTAGGTTTTGGAGGCATCTAGCGGCGAGGTTGCAGATTCCCAAAGCTCCCACATGCCAAGCGTGAATTAGAAAGCAGATAAAGCATGCGGGGCCCTATATAGAGCCAGATGTTTATACAGAATTACGTGATAATCCATCCAGTAGTTAGGATATGTTGACCAGCCAGCCGGCCGACAGACCAACATCGTCATCCCTAAAGCGATGCCACTAGCATGGCTAAAAGTGCAAAATGAAAGTAGTGGATAAGCTTGTTAATTTCCTGAAATATTTAAGAACATTTTGATATAATACTTCTAAAATTTCCCTTTTCTTAAGGGTCGAATACTATAAGTGAACGTGCTTGTGACTTCGCTAGGAAATACTTTGTGATTTTTCCATCGATCGTCCTCAGCCTTCAGCCTGCGCTATTGATCCGCTCTGACCAGGTCTGGGAACAGATTTAATTATCATTATGCAAGCGTGTGAGTTTTCAGGTGAACCAATGCTGAGAGATCCGCGCGGGGATAACCATCTGGAAATGACGACAGAGATGATGCACATGCTATGTAACATGAGAGCAGAGGCTGATGTTATCTTGGGTTCCACTTGTCCTCAGGCGATTGCACACGTTTTGAAGATGTTATTGTACAGGCGTGTAGTTCATTTGCTGGTGTTGATCAGGTGAATTAAACACAGATGCAGTACTCTTTCAAAAACCTAAGGATAGTGAAGATGATGACGGTAATGATCCGGTGATGGGTTTTTTGAGCTGAACCTTGATAGCAGCCGTTATATCACTGACCTATTATACTTTGGGGAGCATGGCTGTTGTTTTGTAATTGGTCCTGAAGCAGCCTGAAGTCTCCATGGCGACTCTGTACTCCATCGACCAAGATGTTATCCATCTCTCTGCTGGGGAGAAGAAAGGCTGAAGCCTTGAGACAGCATCCAATTTTTTCAAGAAACATATAATCTATCGTGACAACATCATATATTTATTTTAAGGAATATCTGTCCGTGGTGCTGAATTATTTCAGCTCATCTGTCGACAGCTCAGATCACAAAATCACAGCTGCATGTCAGGGGCACCAGCGTGCAGAACGTTTTTTAGCATAGGGCAGCCTATGTTGCACTGCATCACGTTTTCTCCATTTAAGGGCACCCATTACTGCACTGCATCTCGTTTTCCCCACTGAAACAGTCCTCCTAGAGGGCATCATGTTTAAGCTATACCGTAAGGGCATCCAAGAAGGCACTTTGTGATGGTTTTCTCCACTGGAAGGGCACCCCAGAGTGCTTGTTGTTATGTTTTATCTACCGTAGAGACATTAAAGAGGACACTTCATGTTTTCTCCACTGGAAGAGCACCCTAGAGGGCACTTCATCATTTTAATATAACACAAAGGCATCCAAGAGGGTAGTTTTGTTGCGTTTCCTTGTAGCATGAGAGCAACAGCAAGTTTTTGCTTTCTAAAAATGTCTGAAGAATAACTTCTTTACTGTTTTTAGTCTTATTACAATTGATCATACTTAATATTTTCTGAATATCATACTTTCTTCTTGTAAATCAAGTGTTTCTAATTAACTTCTTCAATACAATACATAAAGACACGATACGACAGAAGAACAGTGAAGAACAAATAGAACAAATGAGGGCAGAGTCCTTGGGATTAGAGATTGAACCCATTTAGCAAAATCAGGTTTTATCTGACTCTCCTGTTTTCCAACGAGAAAACAAAGAACCTTCCTGGTTTGAATGAAGGAAAGCACCTGCTTTTTTAGCAACACTACATTATTTTTCTGACTATTGTCATCAAACTGCACCTTGGGAGTGCTGTACAGATTGGGATTTTGTGCCCTGTGAAGAGATCCACTTTTGTTGCGACAGAATAAGACATGAGGCAGAGAAGAAGTCCCCAAATAAACCACTGAAGCAGACTAATGAAGTCTTAAAGGGCAGAATCACGAGGCTCTCAATTTGTGTTTCATCTCGAGTACACGGCGATATCATGATATCACACTACAGTGTCTCTGCATCGTCTCCCTCCCGCCTCTGTGATCTTCTTTACCAACCTTGGTAGAAACTTAAGATGATAAGCTGCTTTGGACCCTGCTGCTCAGACCTGTTGTTACCATGACACTGAGCCGAGAGAGGAGACCACAGCAACAGCACATCCATTTATGCCAATAATTGGCCATTTGGGTGATTTAGCTCGGTCACACCGCAGTGTTTCTTCTGTTTTGTTTTGGTCAGCCGTACAAAAAGTACGTCTTCGGATAATGATGGTCGTTTGAGTTTCGGGAAATGCAGAGGGTGATGACGTCACTTAAAGTCTGACACTACAAAGACCATTTTCAAAATGTTACACATTTTTCATTTTAATTTACTGGTTATTTTTCATATTGAGGCATTTGTAATGAATACATTGAATTTATTTCTCAAATGTATTGTCACAATACAAGACAGGACCTTTCTACAAGATCTCTCTATCATACATATACACACATATATACATATATATATATATATATATATATGTGTGTATATATACATATATATATACATATACGTATACATACATATATACATACATATATGTATATACATATATATACATATATATATATACATATATATACATATATATATGTACATACATATATATACATACATATATGTACATACATATATGTACATACATATATATACATACATATATGTACATACATATATATACATACATATATGTACATACATATATATACATACATATATATATATACATACA